AACTGCCAGGCTGGTTTGAGCGGGACTGCCAAGACACAGCAACGCCTGCAAGTGAGAGGAAGAGCTGTGACAAGTAGTATTGAGGCTTTTCTAGAGTAGGGGCCAAAGCAATCTTCTCCCTTATGCCTGCAAGTATGGCCATCTCAAAGTTGCCGTTGCAAAGGCAACAGGGGATCTTCAACCCCACCAGGGTATACTGGCAGCATGACCCCAAAATTCATCCCCGAGGTACTCTGGAAAGACCAGACAGCTTTTTTTGGTCTCCAGACCTCCCTAGAGCACTATAAATTCAGACAAAGGCAATAGCACATGTCTGAGGTATCAACCCATCAAACACAAAGGAGTTACTCCAGTGTAAGCTCTGCGCAAAGGAAATCTCCATCTGTCCTGGGTTATCATAAATATTTCCATACTTGTGATGTTGGGATTACAAAAATAACTGCAATCTGCTGAATTTACAGTTATCTACAATCTGCCTATCTTGTATCTCTTCCCCAATCAGTATCGTCTGAGCAGTTTCACAGTCTGGCTATTAAACTTTCCACTGCCAATAACCACGAGTTCATGCTCTGCTCGTTGAGGGGGAAGTAGAAACTACTGAGCCCTCGTGGCAGTGAGCAGGACCCAGCTGCCTAATCCTATTTCTCTATTGCTTTGGTCTCCAGGTCTTCTGTCCAGACAGCCTGGTCACTACCAGAACCACTATATGTATTTGGCTATATACAGCCAAAGCAGGGTCACTGTAAGGCCGCACACGTAGCTGACATCGTCGTTATAATACTCTTTAAATAATTTCTACAATGTTGAAATCATCATAATGAGAGACCACAGGGGCAGTACTCAAAATCCTCATGGTGTCCTAAAAAGGGGAATATCAAAAAATGGGCCTGTAAACATGTGCTGGGTTTGCTGAATACAGCACCAGAAAATTGGTAGTACAGCATCTTCACACAGGAGTGGACTCAGTAGCATTACAGCTTTTTTTCATCCATAAGGTCTGTTATATTTTAAGCTTGTGAGTGCACAGACAGCCTGATGCTGCGTCATGAAAACCAAAGGGAGCAGAACTACAATTTAATCCCATTCTCCAGCTCCAACTAAGAAAAACTCGCCAGCTAGAATAGGAATGCGATGCTTCAATTGAACCACATATCTACACCCACCTACAGGTTAGGGGTTTATTGTCATGCTCATCTTGCAGTTGGGTAAGCTTGGCAATTATTTGACATGTTCACAGACTCAGTAGTTGCTGCTCGAAGGGGATCACCTAACTGTGATTCATCTTAAGATGGGTATCTATAATATTTAAGATGAACAAGTCTTTGGTGGCGTGTGTTTCTCTCTATCAATACAGGAGCCTAAACAGCTCCCCTGCTCTGGACAACTTAAAGAAGGGTAAGGTTAGGAAAGATGAATCCATCCAGTTTCAGATCAGAGTAGATCTCAGCATGTCTTGACTCCAAATCTAACCAAAGCTCAACAGCTAGCAGCACCTGTGTAAGTGGGGATGGATGCAACAAGGAAACTTCAGCAAAGATGAAGCTCAGATAAACAATTAGCTTGTAGGTTTCTGCTTCTAAAATGTGTGGTCCCTTTGTTTGACATATAGCAATGCAGAAAGTAACACCATCTAGAATGTTTTAATGCTGCTTTCCTAACTGAATCTACATTATATACCAAGCTTCTTGGAAAACAGGATAAAGGGGAGAAATGATCTGAATGTCAGATGAGCTGAAGCCATGAAGATACTGCTCCAGACTTCATTAAATTCAATCAGACTTCCTTTTGCTTCATGAGTGCTGACTCATAGATCAAATGTGTCTTGGAGTACACCCAAACTTCAAAGGGTTTCTGCTGCAATATTGTGCCCCACTTCTTCACAAAGTCAGAGACTGAGCCCCAAAATCCTCATCCAGATTTGCAGCCAAAGTCGCAGAAATCTGGGGCTCCGACCTATCTCCTCTACTGTATGTCATAAACACACCGGGGTTAAGAAGAATCTTGCATCACCCAGATTTAGGATTTTCACTGGGGAAGAAAGAGATGAAAATTGTACTAAAACATTTCACTTTTTTTTAATCTCAAATGCTTACTTCTTTTTTTTTTTTTAAACAGGAATGATGCCTGGTGTAGCAATTCTTGAAAATCTCTGAACCTAGACTGAGCAAATTCAAAGTTTTTTGGAAATAATAGGGATAAACTTGAAATTTTTTTTTCTCTATAGAATGATCATTCAAAGTTAGATTAAAATATAATTGTCAAATGCATGTTTTTTATCATCATCTCAATGAAAAAATAGTACCTTTAACATCCTTTTAATATAAAATCATTTTTACCAGCAAAGACGATCCAGGTCCTTAAACATATAAAAACTCCTCTTTCCATTTTTTGAGCTCCATTTCAGCAGAGGCTCACACATAGGCTTAACTTTGAGCAAGCAATTTCACCAGAACAACTCATTCACTTAATACCAAGCATGTGCACAACAGTTTTCACAACCAGGGCCTAATTTCCAGGGAGAAATATTTCTGGCACTGAATTACAAGTAATTCTAATTCTTACTTTGACACCCACAAAGATATACCTCCTGACACTTATGCTGAGTCTACCCCAGGGTACGTGAACCCTGCAAACCCAGTGTTTCCCCCCCATAATTGTGCTCGGTTATTTACTCTCTACCAGCCGTGCTCTAGGATCTTGGATTATTTATTACATTCGGTAGCTGTGGCCTGTAATTCTGTAACATCATTAATTCTGTAAAGGCTTTTGCAACACGCTTGCCTCAAAGATGCCAAACAAAACAGCGTTGATTATTGTTATCAGCACTGCCATTATCACTGAACGCCACTCAGGATAGCAGTGCTTTCAGTAGCTTGGGGAAAGAAAAAGAAAAAAAAAAAAAAAAAAGCCTTCCTACTCATATTGTCATTATGCCTCAAACAGCATAAACGATGCCTTCTGCATACATAATAATTAAACGCTTCCCCCATCCCCTGTCACCATGCTGTTGTATCTACCGAGAGCAGGCTCAGCCTGCCTGACCAGGTGTCTCCTTTGATGCAGGAGCTGGGCAAGAGAAGGGGAGATCGTGGCCGTGAAAAACTCCAGCCCCGGAGGAACAAGAGCACTGAACCCCCCTTCTGCAGACCTTTGAGATGCAGCAGGTTGAGGTTGGTGGTGGTGGTCCCCAGCAGCAGGGTCCGGCCTTCTTCTATCGTGACGTTATCGCCATCTCGCGGCTGGTGACCAGCAGGCCAGCTGGAGTCCTCGTCCCACCGGCCACAAAACTGGAGGGCAAGCTGGAAAGAAAAAGACCCAGAGAGGTTCAAAACTCACCCCTTCCCACCCTTCGGGAAGCCAGCCTGCTGAGCGCATGGCAGAGGAGATGCCAATGCCATGCCGGCTACTTTCCCAGTGGGACCCCACGTAGAGCAAAGGAATGGAAGGACGTTGGGGTTGGAGAGGTTCTTGGCCTTCAGAAATGCCTGTCACAATTTGGGGGTCGCCCCTTGTCTTGTTCTGCTCTGGGTAACAAGGGGCTTGCTGTAGGGCTGGCTGTGGAAAGTCCGCAGGTTTCCTGGTGTGTGTCTCTCTCTGCCTCCCGAAAAGCAGAACTGCACGTTAATTCCTGGCAATGTCATAAAAATAGCCTGAAGAGTTTACAATTAAAACATCCAGCTAGATGGGCAATAGTTTGCTTTACGGGATTTTTCAAAGGCTCTCCTGCCACTCATCCACATTTAGAGAGACATTCCTCCTTTCAAATACCTTTTTAGCTCTCTCAGTTTATGCAGTATTATTATCACCTCTCCTTCCATGGCTCGCACATCAGTTCCAAATAAAGCACTGATTAACTTGAAAACAGCAAATAGACTGACTCGTGACAAGCAATGGCAAAATGATGTCTGCCTGTTTCAAGTCATGGCTCCTCCTTACCTCTGAACTTTAAGCAGGCACTCTGCAGTGAAGATTTGACCGATTTCTTGAGGAATGTGTGCATATTTTTGCATGGGCATGTGTGCACAAGTGTGGACATAGGCATTCATAACATATTCTTTGGACTCACACGTGAACTAGCAAATACAACCTCAACTCATCGAGACATGGAAATATTTGTGGTCCTCACTGGGTTGTGTTAATCCGAAACAGCAGTGGAAAGAATAAACGCAATACAAAATCAAAATATAGTTAGTCCATTTTCAGTCAGAGCACATCATGTCCATTAAAGCTTTTGCTCCGGAGCTGCAGTTTAGGTGAATCAATATTGGTGGTGTTATGATAGTTATTCTTTTGGCTGTGCTATTGTCAATTTTATCTTTATGTGCCTGATGTTTTATACAGCATTTCTCATAACACCTAGAGCGGTCAGATAACTATTATATGGTGACTACTGTCCTAATTATTTGCACCAGCGGATGGGTGCTGGTTTCCAGGCTAAATGATACAACTGGTTTATGTCCATCCTGTCTGTAGGGTATGGATGCTGGTATTTTCTATCCCCTGTCCCATTCTACAATTTCCATACAAAGGGAATTACTTGGTTCAATTTAGAGTGAAGCCTGGGACTGAATTAACACACACGCAATGAAAACATCTGGGGAACTCAGTCCCCGGCGTCGGGGGAGTGAACCACTTCATCATTACAGAAGTGCAGATGAGCCTTCGCATCTGTACGCAACTCTTACAGAGAATACAATTTCTCCATGGTTGCTAAGTGTAATAGGACAAGTTTCATCTTCATTACTTGCAAACATATATTAATATATTTCAGAGATTTAGGACAAAATTCCAGCTGAAAAGATAGATATCTTTATCCACTGTCTTTCCAGAGAGGCTGTGAATGACTCTTCACTGATAGTGCTTTGAACCAGATTATACACGATGTACAGGGGTATACAATAGATCCACTGAAAAAGGAGATAATTACAATTGTTTTTATCTCAGAGCAGGGGACAGAGGAGGGTACAGTTCATGGAAAGGCACACATTTCCCAGATACACTGCTTATCAAGCCAACTGTAGCACAAAATTGCCAATTCCATAAATTCCTGTCTGGCACAGCCTCAACCAATGCTGCTAGCAAAACACTGCGTGATACAGTTGTGAAACGGTGGGATCCATCAGAACATTTTGCTGAGAAGGTTTGTTAAATGGCTTGAAGTCACTCTGACATCACTCTAACCCTCCGAAGTCACTTTGAAGCCTCCAATTAACTCTAATGGGAAAGCAAGGGCATAAGGAATATACCAGGTTGCTCTTCTTGCAAGCACCAAAAACTTAGTAAACTGTCGGTAGAAGTCTTACAAGAGTTAAGAAAAATAAACTCCTCTTCTGAATTTGACTTTTTTTTTTTTTAAGATGATGCCCCTTTCTAACTAGAAAACACCCTAGTTCTTCATTTAAGTTTCTCTTTATAGAACATCGGTGTTTAAGTTATTCTTGCTAGGTTTCTGCTGTCACCTCTTAGAGGACTCCATACCCATTCAGTTCTACCAATACCCTCTGGCATAAAAGCCACTAGTTCATACATGCCAGTGATCTCAAGGCACAAGAAATGGTTGAAACCATCTGGGAAACTAAGAACTATCAACCATCTTGAGAACGTAACTCAGAAAAGTTATAAATATTCTGAAACCAAGTGCTCTGTTATTTAGATGATACATGTGTCCACAGTAAGAGGTGGTCCCTACACCATCAACCGAAACAAAGACAGATTTTATTGCTCAAAAGAAGGTTTACTACCCAAGAATGATTACAGAGAGGCAGAAAATAATTTGGCCAAGGTCATAAGAATTTCTGTCGTTTCACCCAGTCTGTAACTAAAGGTTTCCAGTGAGAAATTAAGCCTGGCTTAGTCTGCTGCCATGTGCACCACCTGCACATGCACCTTTCAAGTGATTTCTGATTTGTTTTCTTTTTTTCTTTTTTCTTTTTTTTTTAATAAAAGCAAACAGATGAACATCAACTAATAACACAGGACCAAGAGTTATATATAATCACTTGTACCATCCTTGCATTATCATGGAGAGAATAGATCTAAATAATCTGTCTGAAGAGAGAAAAGGGGTTTTGCTCAAGGAAAGTACTTTAAATTACCACAGCGCAGAAGAATGTAATAGGGGGTTAGAGGGAAAGCAGCTCTGTGGTAATTGAGGAAAGACATTGAACTGATGGAGGGAAATGAGATAGTAGAAGATTTTATTTGGTGATTCTTGCAGTCCTACACCCTTCCCTAAGGTGAAAGAGCATGCCCATAAGATCTTTGAAAGGAGTTGTGGTCTAGTGCAAGGCTAGTGAAATGGCCAACTGCCCTGAATTGCAAGTACAGTTTGCCTGGACCTTGTGAATCCCATATGGTTACCCTCCCTGTTTTCTGGGAGGAAAGCACAGTGCACTCTCCAACTGTAATGGACTCGTTAAGTCCTCTGCCGAACGGTGGTGGTGATGTCCAGTTCCTATTAAGCAGTCCACAGTAAAATAACACAGACTAATACACACATAAACTAATTGCACATCCCTTGTCAAGCAGGGTGGGTGACAGACTCACAGCTCTAGAAATCCACTCTCTCATCTGGTCCTGCTAATTTCCCTCCATGTGTTCTTGGGGAACCTCCTTGGTTATCATGACTGTCTTGTCTAGCTGCCCTTTTATCAATATGGGACAGGCTGTAACCCACACTGACCCTACAGACACCAAACACCACCATCTCTGCATGCCAACGGTGGCACGGGGGACTTTGCTGCCCTGCAGGCTGAGCATGTTCTCACAGCCGCTGGGACGAACTGTATCACTTGAGACTGCAAAGAAAAAACAGTGAGACAGCCATCTTATCTCTTGAAGGGCCGTATGGCCGTGTCCTAAACATCTTCGTCACACAGAGACTCCATCTCCTTTCCCTCTGTCTGCAGCTAAGCAGGATAAGAACATCCCCCTCACTGGTTTTTCTCAGAAGGAAAACTCTTTCCTTTTCTTTATTTTCCCTTGCTTGGCACCCAGCATTTGACCTATGGTGTTTAATTTAAACACTTCTCAGTAAGACTGAAGAGCAGCAGCAGCTGCAAGCGCCAGGGTCATGGCTGAGCGCCCATCCCGTGCGTGCTTGTTGAATGAACCAGGAGGAACCCGCAGAGCCGGGGAAAGCTGCTCATCGGCGGCTGGCAGTAGGCATTTTCCTCCTGTGCTTTTTCCAGCTTCAGCACGGGGCACAACAAATGGCAGGGAGCTTGAAAGTCAGGATGGGAGAAAGAAGAGGTGGCATAAAACAAGCCCTGAATGATGGAGCTGGAGCTGGCTGGCTGCAGCTGCTGCAGCGAGGTGGCAGCTTCACACTGGCTCCAGCACATACCAGACAGTTGGAAAGATGATTTAGACGAAACAGGGTGTATAAGGCCATAATGTCTCTGCATCTGTGTTGCTGTCAGTGCTCACACTTGAACATGGTCAACTTCAACCAGGTTTTACAGAAGGAGTGACACTGCAAAGAGCTGTATTCCTGCAAGGTTCAGAAAAATCAGTAGCTAGATTGAGGCAAGAGACTCTTCTGGTGTTTTCCCCAAGGACAAAAGTACAGCACAAACTGAACACTTAAAACGGACACCCAAACTTTTGCAGGATGTGCCCTCACATCAGATATCCATAGAAAACCCACCCTGGCAACATTTCACTTTTTGAATCCTGTACAGCAGATGCCACTATCTCAGTAGGGAACCAAGCCTGCAAAATATGGGCAGAAACCTCGGGAGGGTGGGAAACCACAAGCACTGGGAATCCCTAAGGAGCCAGTTGTTCTTGCTGGGGTACAAAAGAGCACGAGGACCAGGGAGGGGAGCTGACATGAAAATTCAATAAGCAGAGTCCTGCAATCTCTTCCCATCTCTGACACCCACTCGGTGTGCGTCATGCGCAAGTCATTTCAAGACCACACTTTTATGTACCAAGACCATAGCTTGTGTATGACATGGGTTAATTTTGGGGTGTATCAACTCCCTCCCCATTAGAGCTCCAAAACCATGAATGAATTATGTAAAGATAAAGTAATATTTTAATAGCAGACAATAAAAGATTCACAAGCTCCTTGTAATTCAGCACATTATCCCCTTCCTCCCTGCTGCACCTTCTTTTTCCATTTTCAGGCAGATTTCTTTCCATTTATATGTTTTTTAGCTGCTGCTGTTGTCAGCCAGCCTGGGGTTGCCTTTATGTGAGCCTTTGGGGACATATTCTCTCAGTACCAGTTTCTCAGCTTGTGCCTGTGACTACCAGGGCTCAGAAACAGCGGCAGCAACTGCAACAAATGAAT